TGAGGACATGCTATAGAAGCTATTTGACCCTTGTTGGATTCTTATAATTCCCATGTCCAGAGATGGAAGGGCATGAAATATTGAAATTCCTCAATATATTTGTACTATATGTCATAAAAAAAACATTGTTTGTAGGTCGTATAGCTAAGAAGCACAGAAACAGACATGCGATGTGTAGGAAATGAGAATTTTCAAAATAAGTAGAACATAACAAAATATCTTTATATTTATTATTGTTGTTGATTACACGAGACATTCTAAAATAATGCAAAAGTAAGAAACATATAAGAACTCATCTGATCAAGTATCTCATTCCTTAATTTTGAAACAAGGACAACTATGCCTTTTGATAACATATGAGATAGTAAATAATTTGATATTATTGTGATCAGGCTTCTCATTAAAATGTTTGAAAAATTAGTCTTGATCCTTGATGTGTTAAATGTGTCCATGCATCTTTAGAGTTTCCTCAATGTCTAGTGGAATAAAAATTAATTAAAAAATGAGAGAAGGTTTGATCCTTGTCCAAGTGTGTCCCACATGTCATGTCTTATATAGAAATTTCAACCATCCAAAAGTGTTTGGGCTTCGTAGGTATAGAGTTTTATGCAGAGTCTATGTGCTATACTTGAATACTGAACATGCTTTTTTGTTAATTGACCAACAAAATATGGATATTTCTTGATATACTTATTACACATAGCCATCTGCTATACCTGAATGACTTAACAAGTTTTTCTATTGAGTTGGAGAAGTGTTGGACACATTCCCATTTATGGTTACCCAACTTTTTGTGTCAAACATGGGTACGTATAGTTTGCAAGAGTCAATGAATCAAAATAGAGAAACTTCTATAATGTTATTAGAGATGTGAAAAGAGTTCCTGCTATTTGACACACACAACTTTCTCTTCGTTGCAAACAAATGCAGGTTAAGAATTATGAAATGTTCATGTAGTTTTAGTGTAGTGGAAATGACTGTGTGGGAGTGTGGGTGTTTGACTGTTGATAACTAACACCCATGCTACTCCAAAATGTTTATACTATGTCTGAAAAAATGAGTTAAGGCCATTAACATTCATGGTGTTGATGAAAGATTTAAGATACTACAAGATTTAGCAAGATCTGACAGTATAGTAACTTACTGCAATATGGTAGTGTTGGCAGGTGTACAACCGTTTGATGAAAGATTTAAGATACTTCAAGATTTAGCAAAACCTGAGAATATAGTTATGACATTTAAGAAATTGCACACAATTCCTCGAGCCAAATTTATGAGTTAGATTATTCAATTAATATATTTCCTTGAAGAAAAAAAGAACGAATTTTAAATAATGCCAGTATGCTATAATTTGCTTTCGAATGAACAGTACTAGAAACATCGTACTAACAATTTGTAATATCAATTCAGGATTAGAATTTCTCTTTATCATCCTTTAATTACCTTTATTAATTTAGAAGCATCATGAAAGGCAATGTTCCAAAGTAAGGAAATAAGTCGTGCAATTTTATACTGCTTCAATTTTAAATAGTAAGTATTGCAAAAATTAGTCTATTGCAGTTTTTCCCTTTTGCATTGCACCACATTTTGGGGTAGACATCCCCTTTGTACTCCAGTCCTGATATTTAGACAATATTAAATGCCAAGTGATATGGCCTTGCTTGATGTACATTAGGAGATTGGCCAGCATTGTGTTCGTGTAGACTCATCAACAATTTGGGTGCAAGGTGATCTAATGAATAATAAGCTGAACTGATCCCTATTACTGGGCAGAAGTGTAATATTTGATATTTTATGATTAAGGATTTATGGGTATAAAGGTCATAGAAGATAGAGATTAGAGGTTCCAGGAGTCCTATCCAAAACCCTAGCAGCACTGACTTCACCATGCCTGTGGTTGCTCCTTCTCACTAATTGCTTGATGTTTTGTTCCTGATTCTCCTCGTTTAATTTTCTCCTTTTGTCAATTCTATCATGAGTAATGTTGTGTTATCTGTTCAGTGTTCTTCCTCATAGAATTTTCTTTTTTTAACTTTTTTTTGTTTTCATCTATTTGTTTCTGTTTTGTTGCAGAGGTTGTTCGCATAATATAGTTTCTGTAAACCTTCTTTCTGATGGTAAGATTGATCTCTCTGTTTTCGTTTTGAGGAATCTCTTCTTTTGATGGGAATCCAGTAATTCTATTCATTGCAATAATATGACTAGTCTTCTGTCTTGCGGTTAATTTAGTTGAAGTAATTTTTATCTTGATCTTGATCAATTCTGTAATCCAAAAATGTTGCAGTACTTGAATGTTGTATTTTGCTTAAAACAGATAGTTTAGTGATTTATGTCCACTTGACTAATAGAATTGAATCCAAATCACCTAATAGATCTGCTGAATTGGCAGGTTGAATTATGGTGATCCTTCTTGTATGACTGTTTATTGTTTCTTTTCCCCCTTCCGTGTGTGTCTATGTGTGAATGGATAGCATCCAGATTGGTCTAGCCAAAGAAAAATCTTCTGAATGCTTTATACTATGCCAAAAAACGTATTTGTTGTTTTCTGGAATTACACCACTTTACCTTGCAATAAATTTTGATAATTAATATTTAGTTACATGCTAAGTGAAAATAAGGATTTTATACAAAGTCCACCTATAGATTGCTTTGCCCGACCTTATTCTTGAAATTGTGCAACACATATAAGTTTTGTACATATCATCTGCCAGGATCTTTCAGTAAACTTGTTGCTACAATTAACCGGGAACACATTAACCATTGTCTGTATAATTATAGCCATGATTCCAATTGATCACATAAACCACATTCTTAGAAACCTCCTTTTAGTTTAATTGACACTTTCTGACTAATGTGCTTTGTATTATGATAAAAAACTGATGATCATTTTACTTGGTGCCTGTTTTCATGCCATAACCATCTCAGAGCAGTGGTAATGGTAATCTTTACCTGGATTTGACTTGTGATTAATGTCTTCTGACAAACCTCATGCATGATTCATTCTTTTTATCTTTATGTATGGTTGGCAACATAATTGATATTGACATTCAGAAAGATATCCGTGTAGAAAAAGTGATAATGACACTAGAAAGCTAATTTATCAAGGGACCCTTGGAATTGGATGGTTTTATATGATTTCACAAGCGTGTGAGAGAGTTAACTTCAAACCAATTGTTAATATTTTTTTATATTATTTATGCCTAAGATCTTCACTGCTTGAAGGCATGGATAGTGGTGGTGCAAAAGGAGATGACTGCCTCAAAATTAACTGAGAACTAAGTTACATGAATTTCTCTAAATGAATGAAGGGCTATGGTGCTATATTTGGGTGATGTTGGTGTTGGTATGGCTCCTATATTAAGAACTAGACATTTACTCAACAAATATGTTGAGTGATTTGATTTTCTTGTGGAACTATGGATATAAAATGCTTAACTTATGCGTGAAATACCTGAAACACTTGATTATCGCCATTTTGTATTAGACCATTAGCAGTATATTAAAAAAAAATGAATATTTCTCTGGATCCTTCTGCATTACTGGATCAGACATGGCATTTGGTGAATGTGGCATTTTGTTGTTTACATACAGTGAGATGATGCTTATACATGAGTGTTTGTAACATTTATTGATGATATATTATCTAATTGTTAAATGCCGGCCATGAATCCAAATTGTAAATCTCCAATCTGTTGGAAAAGATGGAAGTTAAGTTGAGCCTTTGCTAGTAGTTGCTAACTGCAACTTACATATTTTGGAGCTTATTTAAGGCTCTAGAAACAAACCTTTCCAATTTTTCTATCCATTTACCTGTCTCAGACTTCAACAATATTGAACTGTTGGACTTTTATTTCGTATGGTTTATATCCACAATTCAGTGTGTTGTGGACCAACTGGGGACCAGTAGAATGGAGAATCTTTAATTTGTTCTGGGCAAAGACTGATATCCTTCTTTTTGTGATCATTTGATAGTGATTTTTGAATTATCAGTGGGTTGGGTGCAATGATATGATATATCTACTTCTCTTGGTAGTCCAGTTATTATCTGCTGGCAAAAAAAAATTGCAGAGAATTTTTTTCTTATGTGAATAGTGTTACTGGCCTCTGTGTGTAGCTGTATTTTGTTCAATCTTGTTACTTGTATTTGTTCTTTCTGCACTTCTTAGCTATCTTGATTATTGTAGATTTCAGAAAGTTACACGGTTATATTGCTCAGATATCACTCAAAGGAAAGATTCCAAGGATTTCTTGAGTAAATAAAACAAGTGTTGATCCTCCTAAGCTTCATTTCAGAAAATGGTTCACATGGAACCTTGTGGAAGTTGTTACAAGCCCTCTGTAGGACTATCTAGATAGGGTGCAGGTGGAAGTTGGCTGCCTTGAGACGGCATGCTCATAGGATAGCACTTAATGGGAGAACATTGAATTGCAGGTAGTGGATTTAATGGTCTCCATCAGGAAGATGTTTGGGTTCTTTCCAATGCCAGTTGTTATGCAACCCTGATATTTTGTTTACCACAGTAATACCTGATGACTAAATGACTGGCATTTGAAAGGATTTTGCATGTAAGAGGCTAGCTTAATGATTGAGAGCTTAAATATTATATGACACGTGATCAAAGTTTAGTTTTAAAGAGGAAATAAGATGTTGCTTGCATTTTGGACATGCAAAGAGTCTACTTACCAAGATGGACAGGGTTTTGCATCCTTTTTCACAATATCAATTTTTATTTGTATTTTCATTGTTCTTATTTTGTTTCTGTATATCTGGCATTGTTCCAGTTTCTCACTTTTTAGTTGGTATATATTTGCTACCAGGTTCTGGTGTTCAAAGTCTTTCTTCCAGTGTGCAAAGCACACCAGAGAAAAATGGACATTCTGATGATGCTTCAAAAAGTCCAGAGCTTCTCCAAGAGTTCCTGAAATCAGGCCCAAAAAAGGAACTTTCTCAAACTTTCTTTGCTGAGGAAAAGAAATATAGAGTTTCCTCTAAAAGCAAAATGACTGAACAGCCTCCAAAGATGAGTAAAAAAACTCTGAAGAATCAGGAGCTGAGAAAGGTATCTGTAAGTCCCAAGGACCAGTCTTCCAGGAAGCATCAGAGGAAGGGGGAAAATCCTGTTCGTATTCCACCTCCTACAGAGCAGTCTGCAGATTTTGTGCTTTCAAATTCATGGATCTGTAAAAATGCTGCATGTAGAGCCGTCCTCTCTATTGATGACACATTTTGCAAGAGGTGCTCTTGTTGCATTTGTCACTTATTTGATGACAACAAGGATCCTAGTCTATGGTTGGTTTGCACTTCTGAATCTGCTAATGGAGACTCCTGTGGTTTGTCCTGTCACATTGAGTGTGCACTTCAACGGGAGAAGGTGGGGGTTGTTGATCTTGGCCAATTGATGCAGCTAGATGGGAGTTATTGCTGTGCATCTTGTGGTAAAGTTTCAGGGATACTGGGGTGAGTTGCTTGCTTATATTTTGTGGCTTGAAATAAACTCTTATGCTTGGTATTACGCGAGAATCTCCACCTTGCCCATTATGGAAGATAAAGTGATAATAAAAAGATTAGGAAGAAAATGCTTGGAATACTCTCAGTTTTGAGTTTTTTATTTATGAAATTTGTCTTCACAGCTTATGTTACATGGAGTATGGGTGTCAGCTGGAGGGATGTATTCATTTTCATACCTTCCTGAACTGCTAATTTTAGGATACCGGAATGTGCCTCCAAAAATTGAGTCATGCCCAGAAAATTTGTGATATTCCATTTATGTTCCATCTTAAGATGTTATTATTTGGAATATGCTTGAAACTAATAGGATTTTGCAAAAAGGTGGTTCTTTTTTCTCACATCAATGAGAGACTAAAAATTTCCTTTTACTATTCAATATGAGCTTATTTTGCTTGAAACATTATTAAGAATCCCATAATATAAGTGTCTAACACTCTTAATTTGGATATGTGCCTGTATAGTATCTGATGGAACAGGTTTTGAGAAGTAGAAGACTTTTAACACAACTCCCATGAAACAATTCATGTTTAGAATATTAGATGGCTCAGTCCATGTGATGTTCCTCTTATATCTTTCCACTAATCTTTTCTAAACTTTATCTGTTTCCATTGCTTTATATGTTTTTTACACTTGGAGTTGTTCTATTGAAGTATCCCCCACTAAAAAATATTAAAATTTCTGTTCTATTTGCTGAAAATGCTTTTTATACTAGCAAATATATTCTTGATCAAGTAAGATGCTGGGAAAGTAACCAAAACCCCCCCCCCCCCCACCCCCCCCAAAAAAAAAAGAAAAAGAAATAATAAAAAATTAAATAGAATAAAATAGAAGATAAAAAAATAAAATTCTTCGTAAAAAAATGCAGTTTTCTTGAGCAGCCTAGAGACTAGTGGACTACAAGGAATTTTGACTTCCATTCAGTAGGTTCTGAGATTGGCTGGTATGATTCTATTAACGTTGACAGATGTTGGAAGAAGCAACTGAACATAGCAAAAGATGCTCGACGAGTTGACATCCTCTGCTACAGAATATTCTTGAGTTACAGGCTCCTGGATGGGACTTCTAGGTTTGAAGAACTGCATAAAATTGTTAAAGAAGCCAAGGCCAAATTAGAAACAGAGGTGGGTCCAGTGAATGGAGTATCTGCAAAGATGGCACGGGGCATTGTCAGCAGACTTTCTATTGCTGGTGAAGTCCAGAAGCTCTGCTCTCTTGCAATTGAAAAGGCAGATGAATGGCTGGCTGCTGTTTCTAATACAAACCCGAAATGCAGAGGTGATTTGATTTTTCATTTGAATTTGGCCATCTTTGCTTCAAATTTTCTTGGACAGACTTGTGCTCTAGATCTCTTATATGACTAGTTTTTCTTTTCTTTATTTCGCCCTTGGCAGAGGGCTCACTTCCTGCTGCTTGCAGATTTCACTTTGAAGAAGTGACTTCTTCTTCAGTTGTGATTGTCCTAATAGAATTGCCAGCTGCATCTAGTGAGGACATTAAGGGATACAAGCTATGGTACTGTAGGAGCAGAGATGAGATGCATTCAAAAGAGCCTATTTCTGTTTTTCCCAGAGCACAAAGAAGGATTTTGATATCCAATCTGCAAACCTGCACAGAGTATTCATTTCGGATAATTTCTTACACAGAGGCTGGTGATCTGGGACATTCTGAGGCCAAGTGTTTCACCAAGAGCATTGAGATAATTCATAAAAATGCCAGTTCATCTGCCATGAGCCATAAGAGTGAGAATCCTCACGTAGAAGGAAGTTCTGAAGCCAGGGGGGAAACCAAGATTCCAGCTGCTGTTGGGTCTTCTCCCGGCTTCAAGGTCCGAGACCTTGGAAAGATCCTCCGCCTAGCTTGGGCTCAAGAACGAGGCTTATTCGAGAGCTTTTCTGGGATAGATATAGAAGAATGCTGTGCAGTTAATAATAACACAACTCAAACTGACGGGACTTCTAAAGATCAATTGCCATCTGTTTCACGGGGGCTTGATCTAAACGTTGCCTCAGTGCCTGATCTGAACGAAGAGCTAA